CTAGATTTTCTTCAATATACTCCTTGAGTTGAGTCAACTCATTTTGAGATAAACTGGAGATTGGTCCAAATGGCGGTTGTACTCTTTCTTGAAGGTCAATTGAGCAATCTTAGGAACGATAATTCGAGAGTGTATCCGCATTCTTTTTTTTCAAATACATCTTGAAATTCTTGATATTGGCTTGGAATGCCACGTGAAGTCTTTGCACCATTAGAAACAGGTGTGGTATAAATAATATATGGTGATTCTTTCATATTAGTATACAAGAAAGCTTTTGCACCTATAAACACGGGTTTAATTGAACTAGACTTAAGACTCTCTACTTGATTAACTACATTGTTAGTTATACTTTTAAAGAAAGTAAGACTTCGAGAAATCCAATCTATTTGAGGGTTGTATTTTTCTAACCACGATAAACCTAAAATGATTGGATTAGAGGGAGATATAATAATATTAAATACTACAAAGCTATTATGACCATTGATTATTACTTCTATAAAAAGAGTTTGGTGAGTAATATCTCCAAAAGATAATGGACGACCATCTATGGCTTCTACATGAACAGGTTTAGTTTTCTTATTGTCGCACTTCTCAACAAAGTCAATTGCTTGACTCAATGTTTGATGATCAGGTAAGTTGAGCATTAATTTTTTAACCTCATATTGTAATCCATAGAGAAATTGGCTAATAAGTATAGCATCATCTCACTTAATATCAGTTTCAAGTTGTTGAAATTTTGAAGCATATAATGTTACTGATCGATTGCCTTGTCGTAAAATACGGATCTTATTGGTTGCAACATGAATTGCATCATGTTTTCCATACATGGATCAAAATTCTGCCAAAAAAGCCTCTAGATTATCCAATATTGGATCTTGTCGTTCAAGAAAAGATGAAAACCATGATAGTGCTAATCCTGAAAGAAGCGTACGAATGAATCTAACTTGCGATCACGGAGTTGGATAGCTTTGGGGTTGAAGTTCAATCACAAGTTGCACTTGATTGATAAATCCTCGAAACTTGGATCTGGTGCCATCAAACTTCTCGAGTAGGATAATTCTTGGTTCTCTAACACTGGAAGGGCGTTCCACCATAAGAGAAAGGATATGGTTTGGTGCAGATGTTGAAGCAGCTCCAACCATTTCTATATCTTTACTTCCTGCCAAGCTTCTTGTTCCTTGTTGTGGTAAATTGAGTTGATGCATCGCAAGCATTAACTCCCTCAATTGCTCTTGCATTTGTGCCATTGCACTCTTCATTTCAAGAAGTTCTGCCATGATAACACTTAGAAAAGAGAAGATGTCTAATATCGCTCAAGACAAATAGAAGAGAAGACTTGAGAACAAAGAAAATACTAAGGACAATATCAATTTAGAAGAGAGTAATCTACAACTTCTAATATTCTTATATATTATTAAGAAAAAAGGATAATCCACTCTTAATGAAGATTAGACAAAGCTCTGATATTGTAGGTGTACTCTTATCAATCTTTCAAGGATAAGAACTCGATGAAAAATTAATTCAAACAAGTGAGCCTTCACTCAAAGAAAGGTAACAAAATATAAATAAACAAGTATGTATATTGAAAGAGAAACTAGAATGGCTATTGCCAAAAGAGAAGAAAAGTAGAGATCCTTGAAACTAGACTAGAAGCAAGAAAGGAGTTGACAAAAGTGAAGAAGGCTTCACTCTTGTCTCTATATATATTATCTAACTAGAGGCTATGAGGCGACAATCTATAGGACCTCGAATATGTGTTGACTTTGTAGAACACATGCCTTGACTTACAAGGCAAGTTTTTCTACGTGCGGACCACATAGTTAGCTTGGTCTTTAAGCTAGCAACATGTGTGGTACATGGCCAACTTGTTGACCACGTTTCTAATCCAAAAAGTCAATTAAAGACACCTATGAAGTTAAAGCAGCATCTATGAAGCTTCTAGGAAGCTTCTAAGAAGCTTTTGTATTAAATACTATAGAATTAACATACTTTTATATACTTTTCCTTACTTCTGCCTATTTGTATATGTAATTATTGGCTTACATGAGTATGTCCGTGACATCTACTCACATTTAAGTCTAAACAATCTTGAGTCTCTTGCACATTAGAATTGGTATTTCTTACACAATAAGATTACAAGAATAAATCTATGTTTTTTATTTAATTTACACCTTTTAAGAAATTTATGTAGCCATCTATGATTTCTTATATTGCCTAAAAAAAAATTACATTTATTAAGTCATTTATTTATTTTTCAACAAGTGATTATTTTTAACATATTAAAATATTCAATAAAAAATTTATAGATTAGCTTTTTTAAAAAAATTAAATTCATATATATTTTTCATATTAAATTTATTTTATTAAATATACACATTATATAAGTATAGATTTTTTTGAAAACATAGTATTTTACTAAAGTAATAAAACGTATAAGAGAGCTTTTTTAAAAAACATCTTATTCAATAAAACAATATTTTCTATAGCCTCAATAGCCATGGATTAGAAACCAACTTGTATATTAGATAATGTGCCTAATCTTAGATATATTCGGCTCAAGCATATTTCTAAAATATAATATTGTTTCAACTTTAAATGACATATAGGTGTAAATGATAATGATATGTTGCATTGGTGTTGTTTTTTGCTTCTTTTCTTTTTTTTTAATATAAATCTATTTAAAAACAAAAAATAATCTATGCCAAATATAACCACATAAATACAGTTTCTTTCTAAGATCTTGGTCTATGTTAGATGTATATTAAATTAAAGTAGAAGTTAAATTGAAAAATACTTTGTCATTGAGTGCCTTTTAAATATACAAATTTTTAAATAGATCGAATTTAATTTGTGCATGATTTAAAAATATAAGTTATCAATTTAAAATTTGTAGCTAAAAATTGTGTTCATACAATTCAATTATAGTTTTTCTACAACACCATAAAATATTTTAGTTGTGACTATAAATTTGTGTTTTTTGGATTAAGAGACTATGTATCATATCTTAACAAAAAATTATTCTTATTGAAATTGTATTTGAATTTTGAATCTAAAAACAAATACAAAATATGTTATTAGAATTATAATTTTTAATATTTTGAATTTCAATAATTATTGTACATTGTTGATTAGATTTGATATATTCTTTAATACCAACTTCATCAATTTTAAGGTTATTTTAGATTAAAAAAGAACTAAATTTTACTATAAAAAATAGTATAATCCTATCAAAGGCAAACTTTTGTCATTGTGCTTTATTCTGTAAGGAATTAGAATTTTAAAGATCATGTCTTGTACAAAAATTATTTCAAGGGTAGAGACAACCAAATACAGTTCAGAAATATATGGAGTTAATAAATACTTCTATTTGGTGTTCTATGCAAATCAAAATCCTAGTTTTTAAAAAACTTTAAAAGATTGAATTTTGAATCTAGAAAGTATAAAATAGGCGAAATTAAATATTAGAACAATATATATACTGTATTATTAATTACTAGTGATTTTTTTTTTATAACTTCTTTACTGCGAATTGATTTTGATCAGTGCAGTACAACATACTTTTACAATGATAAACAAAATTTACTCTAGTTATAACTATTTTTTTAAGATTATGTTATATTGTGCTAGCCTTCAGATACAAATTTTGATTACTTGATTATTAAAGTTTTACAAAAAATTATTATTAAAAAAATTAGAGAAATACCAAATATGCAACAAATATATTTTTTGCAACAAAAACTTTTACATTAAATTCTATAGTAAAATATGGAAATTTCATTAAATTCCGGAAGTGAACTGTCTTGAAAGCCAATTAGACACCCTTCATTTTATTTTTTGAAAACAAGAGGATTCTATCTTCATTCTATCACCCAAATTATTACAAACTAAATATGTTTTCTACATCTCTGTTTTGGGGCCTCAAAAATTAATGACACATTCAAACTGAGTCAACAAGGTCACGACAAATAAAAATAAAAATAAGAAAACGCACAGCAAGACAATTTGAACTTTCCACCATCAACTATCTAAGTAATTTACCATTCATTCACGAAGACAGCGGCATATCAGAAGGTGGCGAAGAACAACAAAAAAATAAGTCACTTATATCCCAGGGATAACGCTGGTATTCATATTTCTCTTAAGTACATCACTCTCCATAATATAATCTTACTTTTAAGTTAGGCTAGCTAAGCCGTTTATGAGATGAGCATTTCTTGTGTGTGTTACTCTGATTTCTGATTTCAATGCCTTTTGCACCGGGTATGGATAGAACGTTTATAAACATACCAATTACTGAATACTATTCATTGATTACCTGTTGCGCCAGTTAACACTCCATGCCCTTACACCAAGAAATACAAAGTTGATCTTTAAATTACTACTAACAATCAGAGACAAGCCACTAATACCAAGGTACATATTGTGGTTTCGCAAATTATGAATTCACAAATTTATGACTCAGCCTCCTCTTCGTAGAGTAGCTGTACCGAAGCACAGCAAAGGCGCAGTCTGACCTGACGCTTCTACTCTCATCAAAGGACATTTTGTAAGCATACTCCTCAGCTCGGGTAAAGGAAGTTCCTCCTTCACCAAGCCGGTCCACGACAAAACCAGTTGTTTAGCATGCACTAAATGTGTATGTTCGAATGAAGCTTACTCTGGTCCTCAATTGACAGTTGGTATATTCCTAGCAACCTCAGACACAGGCTGGACAAATTGAAAAGAAGGAAACCAACAACAATGCGCCTCGAAACCCCAAACCATAAACAACAGACATTACAGTATTTACAATCTATGACTCAATGTCGACAATGCCGACAACCCTCAAAGAACGTAACCTGCAAACTCCACAAATCGGCATAGAAGTATCTCTCCATAGCTCTTGCCGAACAGAGATCGCACATGAGTAGAGCAAAAGAAAGAGCGAGAGAATATAAAAAACTAAACAACAATCCCAACCACATCATTATCAAATTAACATAAGAAGAAAAACCAGCAAATCGAATATCCATAATGAATGGTGTGCACTTAATTCATCTGGTGTAAAAACAAAAAAATCTCAAAAACATTTGCATGTTCCATATTAACAGACCAATAATGACCAACGTACGACCTAAGTTGCTCTCTGAGCTGCCTCCTTGGCAAGAATTCGCTCTCTGATCTTCGTCTTGGCCTGTGACTTGACACCCATGATGCCACCGCCCCAATGCCTTCTATGCTCGTCGTACTTCTCATTGAAGTTCGCCTGCGTCCATCAACCCCATTTTCAGCCACACTCACCCTCGCATTCTCGACCTCAACCCCAAATACACCATCTCATTCTCTAAATGAAACCACTACTCTTTCCACACGTCCAACCAATTCTCCTCTGACCCCATGTTCAAAACACCACCACTACAATCTTTACAACCACCGCCACCTCCAAAACTGCTAAGCATAACATTCTTTCCACACGCACCTTCACTGCTTCGATGATCTTCGAAAACTCGTGCTTGTCCTCGTTTTTCACCGCTGTCAAACACAACGCTGTTGCAGTCTTCGCGTGCACAATCTGTTCACACACCACAACCCCCTCTCCTTCAGAAATCCACTCACTTGCCACACACGCTCCGCTTCCTGCATTACATCACCCTACTCATCCTCCTCCATCACTCTCCACTCTATCCATCCACATTGCCCACTCCACTCTCGTCACTTCACCTGTCCCAACCGCGACTTCCCCTTCACGATGCAGTACGGCACGCCCATCTTCCGGCAAAGTGCCGGCAGCCACACTACCAGCTCGATCGGGTCCACGTCGTGAGCGATCACCACCAGCTGAGCCTTGTTCTGCATTGTTCCAACCCCTTTACCCAGTCAATCCCCACTCCGTCCCACCGTACCCCTCCCAACACATGCCTCACATCCGCTTCCGCTTACAATCCCCCACATCGCACCCGTCTCACATCCAACCCACACATCCATTGCAGCTCATTCAACCGCACCTGCTCGATCAGGTACGTGATGTGGTTGATTCCGTATTTCACCACCACAGGCTTCTTCGACTCCACGCTCTTGCCCTCTGCCTCAGCCTTTGCCTTGTTCAGAAGCCGCTCCTTCTTCGCCGCCTTGTCCTCAGGTCGGTACTCCAACAACAACTTGAACAAGCTCGTGGCTGCATTCATCCACCACAATCGCTTCAACACCTCTCTCACATTGCCACCACAACAGACCTATCGAAAATCCACCCCACAACATTACAACCCTCCAGTTCGACAACAGCGACCTACCAAGATTCTTGTCCAGAGTCTTCGTGAACTGGTTCAGAGCCGGAGGGACTTTCAAACGCTGGTTCAAAACACGTCGCTGGCGCTGAATGCGCACGTACTTGGGCCATTTCACGAACCGGTGGAGGTCCCGCTTGGGCGGAAGAGCTCCTCCAATACCAAACTGCTTCGGCCTCTTCTCGAACAGAGGGTTCACAGTCTTCACTGGAGCCTGCTCCAATCATCATAAATCCCCCTCGTCGTTATTAAAATTTAGTGCGTCACATTTACAGGCGCATATTACAGATTACATCCACACAAGCACCCTTCGAATCCCGAGACACAAAAATCAGAGAATCCCTAACCTGCTTCTTCTGCACGGGAGCTGCGACCGGAGTCTTGAGAGTACCCCTCTTGGGAGCCTAGACAGGAACCACCAAGAGCTTCGTCAGAAAATAAGAAACAAAACAGAAAATAATAATAATAATAATAATAATAATAAACCTTAAACCATGGACGAGAACAAGGAAGTAAACTTTAAAGCGTGAATCGCGAAACTCCCATACCCATAGACAGCAACATTCATTCGGAAATTGGCGACACTGAAAGGGAATAGCCCAAAAATGAAAGAGGAGGAGTGCGATGATGATACCATGGCGAAGGGCGAAGGGGGGGATCAAGGCCGACGCAGAGCAGAGCAGAGCTGAGACGCGGGGGGAGGCATGCCCAGCAAAAGAGACAACCCAGTCGGACTCCGCCAAACTCATTCTCTGCTCTCCCTCGAGCCTGTCCCAGCCCTAATCTCTCGTAGGTTTGGCAGTTAGTCCGAGCCTGCTGGGTTTCGGTTCGGATGTAGGTTTGGTGCCTCGTCGGAGAAGTGTGTTCTAATATCAAGTTTACTTTTTGGTGATTTTCACCCTCCTTTGAAATTTGGATGATGTCTAAAACCCAAATTCGACAAGATTGACCTGAACTGATTTGTTTGTTTTTTTATTAAAAGATGAAATTTTCGTTTTTGATAAATAAATTTAAATAACAAAAAAAAACACAAAACAAAACAAAACAAAAACAAAAACAAACAACAACAACAACTTGTATATGGATATGACGATTACTATTAATTAACAGGAGCAGCATATTTGTGTATGGTTTAGAATAAGAACTATAGTATATCTACATAAAAATTCATTTTCTGTTGTTAACTTTTGGAGTGAACCCACTTGTATCTCTGTGAGTAATGACTGACTTTACAATTTACAAGTAATATTAAATGTATCAGCTGTGTATTTGGGAAAACTCAAGAACTTTTATCTATTTATAAGTTTTAATTTTTTTCACTAAAAAAATATCAAATAAAATACTTCGTTATTTCTTTTTTCTTTGTTCCTTTTCAAGTTCATCGTATAAATCATCTCTAGACAATGTCATGTTCATTATATGTTAATCGCCAGATAATATGTATTTCCTTCTGATCTTGTTTCCACAATACAAAATACTGTAGAGACTATTCAACAAAAAATATACATATATTACAATTAATTCTATTTGAACTCTTAATTTTTAGAAGTAATTGAATCCATGACATATTTGCATTAAGGATCATTTAGTTGTAATAGAATTTCTAGAATGTTAAATTATCATGGAGTCACTTCATTGGGGAAATATTTTTTATTTTATTTTATTTGTTCTTATTAAATTCAATCATGCTCTTGATCACTGGTGTTTTGCAAAAGCCTTGAAACGTGATTAACATTTATCCTTTTCAGAAATCCTATGCACTTTGAAATTGCTAACTTGGAATCGCATGCTAAAGAATTCAATTGAATATGCATAATGATCGGTCATTTGTAACTCAACAGGTTTGATTGAATGATGAATAGGTTTTCTATTGTTTCAATAATGAAAATGGTAGGTCCAACAAGAAGGGACTTAGATGTGGCAGACAAGCTGCAGGATGGGCTGCGGAAGTATCTTGTGTAGGATATATTAACACATATATAATATATATTAGTAGAATATTCAAATGCATACAGGTGTACACAGTGACCCAAACAATTGTGTCTGTAGTTTGTTACTTACGACCTGACCTTCATGTATCAATCCTACTGTTATTATTATTCAATATAGAATTATGCAATTCTCCCAATCTCTAATAATTCTACATGATATCAGAGCTACATCATGATCATCCATAATATTCATATGAAAAATGCCAATACATCAACGACCAGATATAAAGATTATAGTTGGTGCTAAGTCTCCAATCTTTCATTTCATAGAAGACAATGCTCACCCTGCACAAATCAAAATATTGCGTGTAAATATAATAGACATAGAAGTATTTTCAACAATATTTTCAACAATATTTTCAAATTTATAAAGAATGATGAATTTCAGTATATAGTGAAATCATACCACTAAGGATGACACACACGGTTGATATAAGCTATGTTTCTTAGTTTGATGGATCTCACTTTAACATTTGGCAACATCAATTATCATTAGTTTTCAAAGCAATTAAATTATGGTCAATAGTAAGTAGTTGTGAATCTATACCAATTTACACCAATTGTAGCTGAAATAGCTCCTAGTATCCCACCTTTGACTGCTATAAGAACAAGCAGTATAAATTAGTGGCAGGACAAGTATGCATTTTTTTTTTTCCAATTATTAATAATTGAATTGAAAACAATATTTTCTACTATATAGAATCATATAAAACCTTAAATGATGCATTAAAAAGTATTTAAAAGTGTATTTGAAGTACAAGATGCAATTGCAAAAATGTATCTTAAAGACACACTCTTCAGATGAAAGAGAATGAGGGAGTAATTAAACACATTCATGTATTTAAATCACACCTTGAAAAACTACTTGTAACATGGTGTCCACTTCTAAATGGTGAAACAATTTCAACTTTGATGAGAAGTCTGCCACCATCTTACAGACCATTTATTAGTTTTTTAATATACCAACTATGTATTACTCTACAATCACTCATAATAGATTTAATTCAAGAACAAACTTTACCAAAAGACATTAACTTCCAAAAATACACCAGTCCTTTATGTAGAAAATAACTCTTATAATAGTAAAAATCCTTTTTTAATAATTCAATTCAATTCAATTCAATTCAAACAAAACAAAAAAAAAAAAAAAAAAAAAAAAAAATCTTCTTAACCATTTGAGAAGAACATCTAAACTTTTTGATAAAGTGTGCTTCTATTATTTAAATAACTTGGAAATAAATTTCAAGAATGCAAAACACTGCTCACTCAGAAAAATGAAAACAATCAAATATGTCCACAAAACCAAATAAGCTTTAAACAGTTGCTTTGATATCTCAAGAAGATTCTATATCTACTTGATACATAAATTTTGGAGCAACCCAACATATGTGTGATTAATTTAATGTTTTTTACAATTATACAAATATAACACTTAACAACTTATATACTTAGATGTTGACATCACATCCTATTACATAGAAAGACATGGCAATATCACTATCAAACTTTCAAATGATAGAAAAGAAATTACTTGAAGTTTAAGATGTTGACACTATGTAATGAATCCAAAAACATTATTGCCAAATAAAAATCAAACCTTAATTTATATGAATTAGATATCACTAAAATATCTAATTACAAAACATTGGCTATATCAGCTACTATACAATTGAACAAAGTCAATTTATGATATTAACAACTTGACCATATAAATCAGCACAAATTGAGATAGCTTTAATTATTGTCAACTAACAAGGATACTTTTGATTCATAAGACATCAATTTTTATTATTTGTGAGTTGAAGGAAAATATTTTAAAACCAAGTTTTCAAGAGGAGTAGGAAAAAGAGCTTCACAACTTTTGGATCTTATCTATTGTAACATATGCAACTATATGCAAGTTGCAACTCATTCTAAATACACATATTTTATTGCTTTTATTGATGACTTTTCTAAATATTATCATGTCTACTTATTAAGATATAAATTTAGAATACTTGATAAATTTATGTATTACAATTTTTTATATAAAATTAAATTAATTACAAAATTAAAACCTTACAATCTAGTTGTAGAGATGAATATAAATTTGAATTATTTAATAATTTTTATAATAAATATGGTATCAAATAATAATTTATAATAGCTTATATATTACAATAGAATTTTCTCTCAAAAAAAAAATAGACATCAGTAGAGGTAGTTTTATCTATGTAGCTTATATTCATTCATTTAAAATAATTTTGGATAAAGTATTTGTTTCTCTTCTAAATTTATCTTTAAAAATAATTTTAATTTCTTAATTATTTAATATAATTTAACATATTAAATAATAAAATTTACATTCTTTTTAAGGTATAATTTAGATTTTATTTGATAAAAAATATTAATCAAAAGAAAAAAAGATGTGGTATAAAAAGAAGAAAAAAAATCAATAAAAATGAAAAGAAAAGAAAAGACTTAGTATAAAAAGAATTAAAAGAAAGCTAGTGTAAACAAAATTAAGAAAATAGGAATTAGTGTGAAAAGACAAAGTGGTTAGCTGCCAATGTGTGAAAAAGAAAATGTACTTAAACCCACATTAGGTTTTTATGGTATTTAGAAATAAAATAGTTTTACTAAGCTCAAATAACATTAAATAAAATTTAATATAGAAAAGCTACAAATAGCTACAAATACATATTATAAATATCATAAGAAAAATCATGATAAAGAAGTTATAATTAATATTCTATTATGTCATTTTATTATAAACTTTTGATCTACTAATAAGTTATAAGTCTTATAAGGAAGATTTACAAAGATCTTTAAGATTTACAACACAAAGAAGAAAGAAGCTTAGAAGACAAGATTGACAATGATGACACATGCAAATATGTAGAAATTATGTTCTACTTCAAAATGAATGACATCAATGGACTCCTTCAATATTGACAAAGACATGATAGAATATAAAGAAAAAATTAAAGAAGAAAAATATCATATATAGGTTTAAATTTTAAATGACTAATCTCCATTTCAATTTTATCTCAATCGTAAGAAACTTATATCAAGGCTATAATTTTTAGAAGATAAAGAACAATCTTCATCAAAGGTTAATATAGTTTCATATTAGAAAGAAGTATTATATATAAAAATAATATGAAATATTGTATGAGTTTGATTTTAAGATTTTAAGAGATTGTTTCTTTTTTTATAAGCTTTTTAGAAAGCTCTCACATGCTCCAATAGGAATTAATATAAAATAAGAGTATTTTTTTGGATAAAAAACTAACCACTTTTTAGGATTTTTTTTTTGAAGTTCTTTTCTTAGTATATTCTGAATTTAGATTTAAGATTTTGATAATTTTTTCCTCTCTTTATAAGCATTCAAAAAAGCTTTCACTTGCTTCAAGAAGAGTTACCATAAAGTAGCGGTGCTTTTTTAGATAAAGATTAAGTGAACTACTCTGTAAGATTTTTTTTTGGAGGCTTTTTCTTAGTATATTTAGAATTTGGTTTTGAAATTTTGAAGAGTTATTTCTCACTTTATAAGCTTTTTAAAAATCTCTTATTTACTTTAAGAAAAATTAGTAAAAAGCTGTGGGTTTTTTTTTTTTTTTTGATAGAAAAGAGTCAGTTGCTTTTTGCTAATATGATTTTTGGCTTTGTTTGCTCATAAAGAATGTTATTGATAATTTTAGGAAGTTAGATTTTGTGTGTATATGTGAGAACTGAATAGCCCTCTAAAGAGCCATTATATGCTTAAATTTAATGAA